TGGCAGCTTAGGGATAAAAGTCAGAGATGGGAAAAGACTCAGATCTTTCATGGAACTTCTAGGACAATGGGAAGAAGACCTTAGAAAAGGCAGATCACAAAATGTTCTAAGATCTCCATCTGCATAGCTCAGAGCTTTCACCTTTGACTCCTTATTTTCACAGTGTGCCTGGTAATGAAAGAGAAAGGAGTATTGGTCCATTTGACATCTGGATATGAGGCACAGGAAAGAGATACAGATGTAGAACTGCAGACATATTTGTGGACATAATGTCAGCCTAGGAAATGCCAGCCTAACATATACAATGATGTAGAGATGGGATTGATCAAGTGACACTGGAGTCGGTGATCCTGGTGCCCAAAATTTGGCCCAGTACAGTATATTAGCATATTGGATTATGATAGATTGGAATGGTATAGACTATAATGCCCCCTTCTTTTTGCATTCATCATTATTCCTTTCTGGTCATTCTAGGACCATTGGCCAAGAGCATCTATGGTGGAATTGATAAGTTGAAGCTGGAACAGCCCAATGTCTCCATATTATTAGATTATGGAATTCCATTTGGTTCTGAGCCCCTCCCCCCCTTCCAGTTTTAAGGTGGCAGCTCTCATTGCTTTTTAAATATGGACTAAGGGCTTTGCCTTGGCCCTGTGACCTACAAGTAGCATCAAAGATGGACTCTTTCCATCACCTCTTTAATCTGGCCCATTTGAGGGAGGGTCAGCTAAGGCATGGGGAGAAGAGTGGAATGGTGAGGGAGGGAAAGATGATTGTACTTGCTTCTCCCCCAAAACTCCCACCCATCCACCCCCAGACTGAAGAGGACAAGAAGAACCTGCTCCGGCTACAGGACCTGGTGGACAAGCTGCAGCTGAAGGTCAAGGCCTACAAGCGCCAGGCTGAGGAGGCAGTAAGTTCATGGGTTTCTCCACTCTAACGAACACACCTCCTGTGTGTTTGAAACAACGAGTGTCCACCCCAGCTTGGGGCCTGGACAATGAGTTTGCTATTCACTTTAACTTTCACACATTTGTTACATGTGTCCGATATGCTCACAGTTGTGTCAGGCACTCTGAGTTAACAGAAGCAATGCTTATTTGATCCAGGATTTGCTCACAAGCTACTTATAATTCATATACTAATAAGCCCAAGAGAAGGCAGAGTAGCTGCTACCGTAGGTCAGGGGATCAGACAGTGCTAAAAGACTGGAAGGTGGCAGTGAAATTGAGCCTGGAAGAGAAACTGACCAGGCATAGCGCAGTGAGGAAGACATGTGGGTGGGCAAACAGGCGTGGATGTGAGGTGTTGCTGAGCACTCCTGTGCAGTAAACCCCAGGTCAGGGAGCGTCTATCAGATGCCAAGCCAGGGAGGAGTAGGACGCCCTTGGCAAGGCTGTTGCAGGAACATGGGTGAGGGGTGAGAGCACTGAGCCCAGCCAGGAACAGTGAGTCCCCAGACCAGGAAGCTGGGAATACGCACCTCCCCACCCCCTCTCACCTCATGCTCCCACCCCCTGAACCCCTGCAGGAGGAGCAGGCCAACACCAACCTGTCCAAGTTCCGCAAGGTGCAGCATGAACTGGATGAGGCGGAGGAGCGAGCGGACATCGCCGAGTCCCAGGTCAACAAGCTGCGGGCCAAGAGCCGTGACATCGGCAGCAAGGTGGGTCCCCTACCCCCAGGCTTGACTAGTCACCCCCACAGCAGCTTCCCTCCAACATTAGCACCCTTCTGAGGGGGTACTTCTTACCCTATATTTGGATAGCCTAAGAGTCCCATAGCACCCATTCCTGAGAATCCCCCTCCTGCTCAGAACACCCCTACAGACTGGAGCCTCTCTAGAACCCCAGTCCTTTGGAGTTCCAATTAGGAGGTCCTAAACCACAAAGACCCCTAAATGGAATCCCAAGATCCCTGAGGCCTAAACCTCTCCCTCTAAGGGCATCTCCTTTAGGCCCATGAAAGCTCAGAGATTCCTCCCCACATCCTTCCTCCCTTTTGCCAATTGCCTCCTCAGACCTTTTATTTCTTTTTCAGCAAAAACTGCACGATGAGGAGTGATGCTGCCTTCAGGACCTTGCTCATGCTAACCTGTAATAAAGCTGGTTGCCAGACTCTGACTGAGCCCCTGTCCTTTCTGTCCTGAGCTCGGAAAGCAGCCCTGCCCTGTGTCCGAGCTGTGGCAGCCAAGGTTTCCCGCATCTATGGAGGAGGAAACTGAGGCCCTGAGAAGTGAGGTGTCTCCCTGAGGCAGCAGAGCCATGAGTCCCAGTTCTGCTCAGTCAACCAGATAAGGGGCCAGAGGGAGACATTTCCGAAGTGGAGGAAACAAAGGCACCAGAAGGGTGAGCCAATTCTAGACGCTGGGAAACGGAATTTTAGTGCCAAAGCTGAAGCCACCCTCCACCTACCCCACCTCTGAGGCCACAGGGGTTTAAAGTGTCCTGGGACACCCATTTCCTCCAAAATGAATTTCCCACTGGTGCCAGGAGAGGTGCAGAGCTGGCTGGGGATGGACATGCAGATGAAGAGGTTGGCACAGGTCCCACTGTGGTCAGCAGCCCCTTAGAAGTAACCCACAGGGAGTCCCTCTCCCCATGATCCCCAGGACTAACCCCAGCTTCTTCATCATGAGGGCAGCCTGAGGCTCTGGGGCCAGCAGACAGAGTCCAAACCACTATGGATCAAGCCTGAGCACTGTCTCATCTCTGCTTCTCACACAGACACAGACGAGCACAGATGCACATGCAGGTACACACCAAAATGGCACTCTGCTCTCTCTGAGCTCCCACTAGGGACTGTCTGGTCTGGGTCATATGGCTGCTCAGGAAACAGGGCTGGTCCTGACCTCATTCTGCTCCACGCAGATCCCTGCCCCATGCTGGGCTTACAGCCAGACTCTCCTGAGCACCTTCTGATCCCCTCACCTGGCAACTCATCTCCTGAATGCCCCTGGCTGAGCCCCTTCTAGCTCTCCTCGGAGGCCTTGACCCACCCACCAAGGCCAGCCGCCAGTCTTCAGAACGGAGAAGCATAAAGCCCGAGAACAGCGAGCAGAGACCAGAGAAACACAAAAAATGTTGGTTTCAGCTCTACTGAGGAGTCAGAACATGGGGCTAAGACAGTGGTCGGCAAACTCATTAGTCAACAGAGCCAAATATCAACAGTACAACGATTGAAATTTCTTTTGAGAGCCAAATTTTTTAAACTTAAACTATATAGGTAGGTACATTGTTATTAACTTAATTAGGGTACTCCTAAGGCTTAGGAAGAGCCACACTAAGGGGGCCAAAGAGCCGCATGTGGCTCACGAGCCGCGGTTTGCCGCCAAAGAGCCACGTGTGGCTCACAAGCCGCGGTTTGCCGACCACTGGGCTACACACCAAAATGGCACAAGAAGCAGGAGGCCAGAGAAGTCAGATCAAGAGACCTGTGGTTATTACCAAGGGGAGCAGAGCACCTCTACCAGAGTCCAGAGTAGACTTAAGTCCCAGGCAGGGCTGAAGGGCCTGCATCTAGAAGGAGCACCCCAGAAGAAGTCATATGGCTGCTCAGGAAACAGGGCTGGTCCTGACCTCATTCTGCTCCACGCAGATCCCTGCCCCATGCTGGGCTTACAGCCAGACTCTCCTGAGCACCTTCTGATCCCCTCACCTGGCAACTCATCTCCTGAATGCCCCTGGCTGAGCCCCTTCTAGCTCTCCTCTGAGGCCTAGACCCCACCCCACCAAGGCCGGCCGCCAGTCTTCAGAACGGGAGAAGCATAAAGCCCCGAGAACAGCGAGCAGAGACCAGAGAAACACAAAAATGTTGATTCCAGCTCTGCTGAGGAGCCAGAACATGGGGCTAAGAGAACAAGAAGCAGGAGGCCAGAGAAGTCAGATCAAGAGACCTGTGGTTATTGCCAAGGGGAGCAGAGCACCTCTACCAGAGTCCAGGGTAGACTTAAGTCCCAGGCAGGGCTGAAGGGCCTGCATCTAGAAGGAGCACCCCAGAAGAAGGAAGGCATTTCAGGATAGGAGCAAACAAGCATTAGAGTGGAGATAGTAAGTCAGCTTGGATGAGCTGCTGAGCTAGGCCACACTGGATTCTGTGGGGTGGGGACAGCCTGGCTGCACAGGACTATCCGGGCTGTGGCAGTGCCTGCTCCAAACTCCCCCTGAGCAGAGCTCTCCCAGAGCATTTATCGAGGGGAATCATGACCACCTTTCATTAGCCTGCCTTTTCCCCAGACTGTGAATGCTAAAGGACAGGCCCGCCTGTCACCTCTGAAGCCCTGGGGCCCAGCACAGGGATCTTGCATACAGAAGATGCTCAGGAAATATTTACTGGGTGCTGGCAAGCTGGGAAGGAGGACCCACTGGTGGCGGGAGCTGGAAGCGAGGTTGGACCATGTTTTCTGAGATAAACGAGTAAGGGGGCTCTGTACAGTAACCAAACACCGGTTGGGGTGTTAGGAGCACTGGGCTCTAGTCCCAGCTAAGTCACAAATAAGGACGTCACGTCCCCTAAGCAGGCCTGCTTTCTCTTCAGCGGAATGAGAGCTGATGCCTCTTCCAGTGACTGTCTTTTGGGAACTTTGGCTGGCCGCCATCTGAAGCCACAGGCTGACCTCTCCCCTGCGGCCTGCAGGCCAAGTCCTCCCCACACCACGAGGGGGAGCTCTAACACACTCCAGGCAAACAACTTTCAAACCCGCTAACAAATCTGTGTACACAGGAGTGGCAGATGGGCACTCACTCACATCTGGAAGGCTGTTCCTACTCACAGAACTCCAGGTGCCCAGCCACCAGGCACAGCACAAAGTGCCCTTGCACACAGAGAGCTGTGGAATGGAAGTCTGTGTTGAAGGATGCCTTCAGCATCTTCAGTCTAGCGCTCCACTTCCTCAGTGCTGAGACCAAGTCCCAGAGAAGGGACCATCCAGGCAGCATTTCCATGATCATTCCCTGGATTCCTGATATGTCTAACTTCTGGGGAAGAAAAAGACTGACCAGTAGGATTTGAATCTTTTAATTTGGAAATGACCAGCTTCCTCCTACCCACTCCTCTCTCCATAACACCCCTCTTCAGCCCAGCTTCCTCAGGAGTCGGATCTTAGAGCACCAGGCCCACAAACAGGTCCACGTGACTTCTCAGGCCAGTCTCCATCTCTGTCGATCTGGGGTGGGGACAGTGGGCTAGGGGGCTAGTGAATCCAAGAGAGATGTGCCTGAGCTCCACTGTCCCCTTGCTCCGGCTGTAGTCCTGGGTCACTGCTGGTCCCCTGTGAAGATGGAGCCAGGCAGGAAAGGGCATGTCAGGCTGGGGCCACTGGGGCAGGGAGTGAAGGGCACCCCCTCTCCCAGAGCTCAGGCACTCACCCTGAGTGGCCCTGGGCACGATCTCAGTCCGGTAGATCTTGAAGGCATCGTAGGCAAAGACGGAAACCAGGATGATGCCAAAAACCTGTGGAGCAGGAGTGTGGATGGCATCACAAAGCCCATCCAGTATTGGGGAGAGAGAGTGGGGGGGGGGGGGGA